ACCAGAGCTGGGTGAGGGGTGGGGCTGAGAGTGGGAGCTGAGTCCCAGCATGCAATGCTGTAGCCCGATGTCTGGAGGAAAGCTGTCCTAGCGCCCGTGCATTCCCCTCTAGGAGAAGTGGGATGCAGGCCAGAGCTCTCTTGCTGGAAGGTAGACAGCCCCTTCCTTCTCATGTGCAGATGATGGGGTTACAATAAGCAATATACACATATTATGTAATAATTATAGTATATACTATAAAATATAATAATGACTATATTAGGTACATATACTATTCAGTATATTTACATATGTAAATACATGTGTCTTAATGTATATGTAACATGTAAATATAAAAATACTGGTGGTGCCAAAAAAATGTGTACAAGTGGATAGTCAAGCAGTAGTTTGCTGTAATCAGAAGTGTCTGGACGCTGATGGTGACCACTTTGAGCACCTCTTGTAACTACTAAAGTCAAACGTGATTTGTATGCATCTTTTGTTATCAGTATATATTGAGTATTAATACAGTTTTTTCCTTTCTTGAAATGTGTATACGTTTTTTTGGCACCTCTGTATTTACACATATAAATACATACAATTATATTATGTATACAATTATAATATATATTATACAGTTATATAATGTATATGTATATTTTTCATATGTATGTGAAATGCATTCATATGTGTATACGTATAATCATGTGTATTATTAGTAGTAATGAATTTATATGTATATAATATGTATGCATATATAAATATGCTCAGACATATTTATACAAGGATACCATACAATAAATGTATGGCATCATACTTATGATTTGCTAACCAACTTAGCATTTTTATAGTGCCAGCTTATATACATGTTATATATATATACATGTATACAATTATAATATACACATAATGTATATTATATTATATATAATACATATATATACATGGTACATATATGTGTATAATACATATGAATGTGTATACAAATATTGTACATATACACAAATATAATATACATAAATATAATAGATGTATACTATTATATGTGTAATATATGTACATATATTATAATGTCATTGGTGAAGGTACCAGGATTGTATGATGATCTGATAATTACTTAATTAAAAAACAATGTAACTGTTATGAGCTGAAATAGCATGCTATTTCAGATTCGAAGTCTCCTTACTTAAATGCCTGTATGGTTAGCACTCTGGATGATGATTATACGCACTCTGAAAATCTGTAAATTAGAGCTAATAAAGATTGAAATTTGAGAGGAAGCTGAGGGTTCAAGCAGAGAGATTAGTTCAGAAGACTAGTTCACTGGATTGTTTTTACCAGAGTCTAGAAGAGGGTTTGTCAACTGCGGCACTATTGACGTTTGGGACCAGGTAATTCTCTGTCATGGAGGGCTGTCCTGTGCACTGTCGGAGGTTTAACAGCATCCCTGGCCTCCTCTCACCAGATTCCAGTAGTCCCTCCAAGTTGTGATGACCAGAGTGTCTCCAAATATGACTTAATGCCCCCAGGGGGGCAAAATCAGTCCCAGTTGTGGTTCTCAGCCTTGCAGAGCAGAATCTGCATTTTACTGCGTTGGTTGGTACAGCCAGAGAAAACTGGTTTTATGGAATTCAATTCACAGGCAACTGATACTTAATTCAGAATTTCATTTCATTGATGTCTAGAGGGAAATACCCCTTTTACTTATGCCAGACTCATTATTGCTCTCTGAGACCTCCCTCCCCGATGTCAAGACTACTGATGATGAAATTGGTAATAAGCAAATAGCTTGGCAAACCTGGAATTGGAGTATAGAACTTCTTGAGAGACATTTTATTCATATCATTATGGTGTCTGATGAAATTCCTACACTCCAAACCTAAGGAAATCATCATCATAGTTGTGGTGTTCCTACAGACTGGATTCTACACCCCAGCACACTTTGTAAATATTATGGTCCCACCGCAGTGAGACAAGCAATTTAACAAAAGCCTGTGTCTCAATTACCTCATCTATAAAATAAAAATACTATCAGTACTTCCAAGAGGAGTGATAAAGATACTATGTGTGAAATGGTTGTAAGTTCTTAGCACAGAGCATTCACTGAATGTGTGCTAGTTACTCTGTTTTATATAAGAATAACGTTAGAATATTTTATTGCTGAATAAAACACAACAGATTGTGGGCAAGTGTGTAACACCACTCAGGCCAACAGCTAGAACTTTACCAAACACCAGGAGCACCCTACCTGCACCCCTATATCCATTTCCCATAATCACATGTCCCTCTCCCCAGGAATGGAATAAGTACCCCTTCTCTTATTGTGATCCCATTCTTTTTAAGCTAAAGACAGAAGAGTATTGATTCTCAGCTTATGCTAGCAAAAACAAATGAACAGTAAATACATGCCCTCTAGAGTGTTTTACATCCTAAACATTGATTTGTATCTGCATAAATTGATTGTGAATTTCAGTTAAATACTCTTTTTTGTCACACCTGAATACTGATAATGATTCAAAAATGACTGTGCTTCTGGTAAACACACACACACACACACACACACACACACACACGTTTAGATAATGCACTCACTTTGTACAAACACACACACCATAGTTTCCACCTTGTTAAAGCATTTTTTGGTTGTTGCTTGAGATTGGGCATAATCAGAATTTTCTTTACTACGCCATGACTGCATGTCTTTTAATGTCTATACTCCTTAATGCTTGAATTACAACTAGATTGACAGTGTCAGTTCTTAAACCAATCAAGAGGCGTGCAGGAACCCTGGGCCAGTTATCAAGTCCGCCTTCAGAGTTAGCTGGAGAATTTAAGGTGTGAAAGAAGAAAAAGGGGACTTTAAATGAAAACGAGACAATCTTAGAAAACAAAATGCTATGATAGGCAAATTCTTATGGAAGGCATTCAAATGTTAAGTTGGTAAATGTTTACTTATCACTTATACTTTAGACATTTAGCTTTAAAGAAGAACATTTCAGATAGCAGGACTGCAGAAAAATACTGTAGCTTGAATATTTAAGCAGTAAAACAGCTAGTGACTGTTAAAAAACCGTGTTCAAGCAGAATAAGCTTCATAAAACTTCAGAATGATCTAGATAATTCCTAGATTAATTTAATTTAAAGTAAATTGCTTAATGTCAATTTAAAATTTGGGAAAATAACCCTGCATGATTTTTAATTACCAATATGTGTTAAATCCTAAATATTAGAGAAATACTTTTTTGGTTAGAGCAAAATGGCAACAATGTAATAATTGGATTAAATAAAAGACAAACACTTTAAAGATTGCCTAGAATGAAGAATTAGCTGAATAAAATAAGCAGGTATGGATGGATATCATAGTCAACACAAGACTCATACTTTCCGTTTCTCTTTGTGCCTTATTTTTAAATTTATATGTGATATACATAAAAGGATAGATGATAGATGGTGTATACTTTCATATATATTCTTATATACATATTGACATATACATATGCATGCCATATACACACATACACACATATTGCCTTCCTCCAGAAATAACCACTATTCTGTACTTTATGCCATTCATTTGTTTTATTTATTTATTTATTTTCATTTTAGCTGAGCCCTCCTGCCATCTGTTGGCAGCTCAGTGGCAGCTCAGCTCGGGCTGGGAATCGAACCGCTGTTGCTCAGAGCTTGCACTCTTGAGCGAGCTCTTAACCAACGGAGCCACTCGGCTGGCCCCATTTGTTTTTTTTTAATAGCTTCTTAAAATCACGTGTTCCCAAATAACATATTACTTAGCTTTGCTTGTTTTTAAGATTCTCAAAACTATGAAGCAAATATTATTACATGTCTTCATTAACTTGATTTTTTCCACTAGAAATTTTGTTTCTAAGATCCAACCTCTTTTTTTGTTTGTTTGGTGTTTGTTGTAGTTCCATTTTGCTGTTGTATGTTATTCCACTGTGAAAAGTACTACGATTTATTGATCTGTTCTTTGATCTTTGGATGTTTGGGTTGTTAACGATTTATTTTGCTATTATGAGCTATGTTGGTAGAAATTGCACATCTCTCGTGGTGCACAAATGCAAGAGTTTGTTTAAGTCATTGCTTCCCAACTTTTTTCTTTTCATGGAACACAGAAAATACTAATATTTGTATCACATCCTTGGGTAGGAAGTCAGAGTGCCTTGAGACCAATGGTTTCATCATAGGGACACTCTCTCCAGGAGGACATATCAATTTGATGAAATGGATGGAATGTAGGGTACAGAAAGTTCAAATATACAATATTTTTTTAAAGTAGTTGTTTCAAATTTGCACCCCCACTAGTAGTGTGTTGGAGCTTCTCTTGACCCACATTCTCTGGATGACCTGGTATTGTCAGAGTTCTGAAATCTTGCTAATGTACTATCTATATAATAGTATCTAATTGTCAACTTGATTTACACTTCTTTTTCCTGATGCATTTGACCATCAGTTTATATTGGTTCTGTTCTGTGAACTCTCTGGCCTTAGCTTGTGCCATTATTTTTACTGTGTTTTCTAACTGATTTAAAGGTAGTTTTTGTTTTTCTTTATTTGATTTTGTTTTCCTTAATTTGGAATACAAATTGTGTACTGTTTTGCAAGTATTTTCTACATGTTGATATGTTTCTCTTCACTTTACAAAACTTTTGGCCACCATAAGTTCTTAATTTAAATATAGTTAAATTTATAAATCTTTCCTTATATAGGTTTATTTATAAATTAGGTATACTGGTGAGGTATTTTTGTTTCTTGTTTAAGTAAAACTTTTCTACCTAAGATATTATATCATTTTGTCACTTCTATGAAGTTTGCCTTCTCCATTTTCATGTTCTCTTGTCATTCAGTTTTTTTCTTTTTCTTGTTGAACTTAATAGACTCACAGAAGAATGCCGCATACAAGCAGAGAGCCTAGTTTTTCTTATTTGTTTTCTTTGTTTCTTTTATCTATTGAAGCCAAGAAAGCTGTCAGCACTGTCGTAACCTGACTGGATTTTTTCCTCTTGGCAGATGATTGTGATGAGCCTCTGGTGCCTGCCTTGTCTCAGGCATCATTCAGCAGTTCATCCGAGCTCTCTAGCAGCCATGGTCCTGGATTCGCAAGGCTAAATCGAAGAGATGGTAAGGCTTCTTTTTCTCCTTGGTTCATGATGAATCTCATTAATTTTCCGTTCTCTTTTATTTTTATTTTTTTTTAGCTGAGCTATCCTGCCACCTGTTGGCAGCTCAGTGGCAGCTCAGCTTGGGCCAGGAATCGAACCGCTAGTTGCTCAGAGCTCGCACTCTTGAGCGAGCTCTTAACCAACTGAGCCACTCCGCTGGCCCTTCCATTCTCTTTTAATGAACTCACTATAAGTGATATATTGTAAAAGGAAGTAAATATCTAAATAAGCAAATGGTAGAAACTCATGGGATGTACATGACATGTAGGTTTGGTTCTGGAGTGGCAGAGGGAAGCAGCCCATTTTAAAATCCTATATCATTATTTCAGCCCCTAAAGAACTGAATTCCTTCAACCTGGCAAGCTTTTTTATGTATCTTATAAAACAAACTTTTCTACAAAAATGCAGATGGTCCCTAACTTACAGTGGTTCGACTTACGATTTTTTTGGCTTTGTGATGATGTGAAAGCAATATGCATTGAACTTTTCCTGGGCTAGTGATACATGGTACAATACTCTCTAGTGATGCTGGGCAGAGGCAGTGAACCGCAATTCCCCGTCAGGCTGCGATTACAAGGTTAGACAACCGAAACTCTACTGTGCTGTCAGCATTTTCTGGAATTGTGTTCTGAGCTTGTTTAAGGTAGGCTAGGCGAAGTTATGATGCTCAGTGGGTTGGGTGTATTAAATGCATTTTTGATTTGCGATATTTTCAACTTAATGGTAGGTTTATCTGGAGGTAACCCCATTGTAAGTCAAGGAACATCTGTATACAATCATTATGTATACAGTAGCCATGAAAATTTAATTGGCCCTCTGTTTTAAGATCAGCAAGGAATTTTGCAAGAAGAAGTAATTTTTAAAGTTGCTAGTTATTTGAAAATAATAAGCTCTCAGTGTGTGTAATTCACAATGTGGATGACATGATTTGCTCTCCTGTTGAGGAATGGGGAACTTAATCAGCATTCATGCTCCTTTAGGAATACTCATTTCATATTGTCAACTCTTAGGTTGTGTTTGATTGCTTGAATATGTTTAAAGGGAAGTGCATATAATTAAATGGCAACTTGCTGTAGAAATAAGAGAGAATTTCAAAACTCTGTGCACCGAGGGACAGAACATCATTGTGGTCCCTTTTCATAATATGCTAAGGCAAAAACCATCTGTGCATAAATTCTATGGAAAGGCTTGGCAATACTAACACAAAAACCACTTTTATCAAGCATAAAACAATAGACACTGACATCATATATTATTAAAACTGTGATCAGCTCATTATTATATCCCCTTCGTGCATGCCATATGTCAGCCACTTCTAATTCTATTCCTTGATGTTATCTTTGGTGTTGTTATTTAAAATTTGAGTACATTGAACATTGGCCATAACAAATAGCTCATGTGAGCCTGTGTGTGTGTGTGTCTGTGTTTTGCCATCTGGTGCATCGTATAAATATCTAACACTTTAGCATGGTTTAAAGGTTTATTTAAAAATTTTATCTCATATTATTTGAGATAATTGTTTATGTGTGTTTCTTTTTTTATTATATATAATTGACATAACTTATGTGTGTTGCTGAGTATTAGTGGAGAGTAATCACAGAGATCCTTGTATAAAATGGGGAGCATGGAGGATCTTGAATATATTTGTGTTGATAATTCTTGTCTGTTCCTTTTATTTGCCTTTTAGCGAGAATTATTGATCACACTGGACCATCTCGCCCTATTTTCAATTCTGAATACCTTACTGACCACAGGCTAATGGGCTCTCCTAAACCCTCGGAGGGCCAGTCCAGATCCACACCCTTGGTCCCCCCTGTAGGAATGCAGCCATCATAACATTGATCTTAGAATGAGGTCCAGCTTGTACTCGTTTTTAAAGTAAAACAGAGTTTAACATTTGCCACCATACCATTCCATTTGAGTAATAAAAGCTTTCATAGGATTTGGCCTTTAGAAAGAGGGGAAAAATTTAATTTAACTATTTATCTTTATTTCATGTGTTGAGGTTCAATAAATCACTATATATATGTTATTAAGTGGATCAAATAATATTTTTCATTAATTTATATACTCATCAGAAACCTCTATCAGTGGGACTCATTTTCATTCTTAATTCATTTCTATGGCTCTTGGTGAAATACAAAATCAAACTTCATGAATCTCATTTGCATGTTAATGAAACAGGGAAACAAAACAGGATCATTTTAATTATCTTTTGCTGGTTGTCAACCTACTTGATTACATTTTTCTTTTTTATTTAGTTTTTCTTTTTTTTTGCTTATTAATTACATGAAATGCTCACAAAGGAATGTCAGATTTGAGTGATTTACTAGAGGCTATATGTTATTTCTAGTATTGCAGCATTTCTTATAGTATTTAAGTCAGGCTGTGGAAGAGTGTTCGGCCAAGTCAGCAGGTCATGTATAAATAAAATAAATCAGCAAATAAAGGTCCTGGTATCCTAGAAACATAGGTAGGGTGACTTCTTTCCTGTGGAATCTGGAAAACTTAGAGCTAAAGATTGACAGGCAAAAAATCAGGAGTCAAGTTCAACAACCCACTGTTTTCCACCTGTGAAAAATGACTAGGCCCCCGTAAGGGGGGAAAGAGATCAGGAAAAGGCTACTGTTAAGCTTAAGGATTCCATTTCTACCATTAGGGCAGAAAAGCTAACCTTTTTTGAGGTCTATTTAATTTTGTCACTTGAGTGCCATTGTGGGTTGACTTGTGTCCCCCAAAGGATACATTCAAATCCTAACCTTGATCCTTATGAATGTGACTTTATTTTGACATAGGGTGTGGGCAGATGTGATTAAGATAAGGCCATTTCGGATTAAAGAGGCCTCCAAATAAGGCCTTATCAGGAGAATGAGATATGGAGACACACAAAGACAGAAAAAAAACCAAAACAGCAGAATAAGGCCCTGTAAGGACAAAAGAAGTAATTGGAATGATGTAGCTACAAACCAGGAAGAGTCATGTATTGCCAGAGACTACCGGAAGCTAAGAGGAGGCAAGGAAAGATATTTTTCTAAAGCCTACAGGGAGAGCACGAACCTGCTGACACCTTGATTTTGGATTTCTAGCGTCCAAAACTGTAAGAGCAAAAATTCTATTCTTTTAAGCTGCCAGTTAGTGATACTTTGTTACAGCAGCCCTGGGAAACTAGTACAAATGCCACTGAGTGAATGACTTCTTTTTCATACTTCCTTTGCTTTGGGAAGATTCATCTTAGTTTGAACCTGACAGATTTCGTACATAGCTCAGAGAACCAATCACTGCTAATACTGACTACATCATGGAATTAAATCTCTCTCTCTGCCTTTAAATAATATTTCCACTTTTGCCGTTTAAATATAGTTTGAATTATAATGAACAACTTAGATTTCGACTATTGTCGATGTAGAGTTCAAACAGGTTCTAGAGCACCATTTGCTAGTCCAAGTCGATTCTTAGGACAGAATTTAAAGAAGCCGTATACGCAGAACTGTTCCTGAGTTTGCAAGGTAATCCCAATGAGTTTTTATTTTCATGTACTTGGGAAACCTTGGAAATGGCTTATTGCAAACTGATATACTTGTGTCTACAGGTAAAATAATAAAGCTGTAAATAATATTATTGTACACAGCAAAAAGAAAATGTTTATTTGTGTGAATGTGAACATATATAGGTACATGTGTTTAATTACGAAGCAGATGGCTTCCATAACGGACAAACACAGACATACCTAATTTTATTGCGCTTGGCTTTATTGCACTTCACAGATGTTGTGGGTTGTTTTTTGCAAACTGAAGGCAAGACACTCCACCAGCAAAATGATTACAACTTGCTTTTTTGTGATAGTCTAGAACCGAACCCGCAATATCTCTGAGGTATACCTGTTTTCTCTCATCTATTCTATAAGATCAAAGTATTTCCTGTGTTGCTAAAAGGTGAATTTCCCCGTTATCTATTTTTTTAAACCACAGCTAAGTCCTTCTACTCTAAATGCTTATAAAGCAATGCTTTCCCCAGGCCTCCAGGATATTCTGCTAAAATCAAGCATCTATCTGTAGAGAAATTAGCATATTTGGTTAATTGACAGAGAGAACTCTCATTCTTGGATGTACTTCCAATGAGAATAATTATAATATTCTACGCAGAATTATTTGGCGATTCTTACTGCCCTAAATCATCGTACTTGTTGTGTGCTCCGCATACAACTCTCAGGCTTAAATTAAAATCCCAAAGATAAATTCCCAAGGTATGCGTGATGTGTGTCAGTGCTGAAGAGGACAGATGAGATGAATGTCTCCTGCTGTTAAATATACTGCACAAAATCTTTATGTTTATTACATATTAAACAATAATCACCTTAAAATAATAACCAGTAATTTCTTTATGATGAAAAGTGAGAGGTGAATTTTATATAGGAAAGAAAAAACTCAAGCCTAAAGAAAGGGTGCCTTGTTGTCCTGTGAGTGTGCCTGAGACGTCCCCACCCCAGAATCAGAGGGGGGCAGGCAGTCTCCACTGCCTGAGGAGTGTACAGTATTTACTGCATTGGGGCTGGCCTGTTCTTACAGAGTTTGTTAGAGAACAAAGGATGTCAGCAGTTTATTTGCTTCTGTATGGACTGGTTCCCCATCACACCCAGGATCCCATGTGCTGAATAAGCCCTTAGCACCTCAGTCATTACTGAATTGCAAGGGTCCCACCCCTCCATGCTGATTCAGGCTTTGACAGTTGACTTCTTATTAGCTCTGCCAGATTTTTCTGTCTCGTGGCCCAATTTATCTCTCGGATAAGGAGCTATATAGTTTTAAAAATTGAGATGAGAGGTCTTAAACCCGACCAAGTCCCTGAATAGTCAAATTCTCTGAGTCACCCCTATGGTCACAGAACATGCATTTTCCCAACACACTTGAACCTCAGCTAACCTGCCCTGGCTTCCTCTTTTTTGTACTCTCTCCAGTGGAT